GGATGGTTTGGAAAAAATTTATGGTAATGAGTTTAATTATGTAAGAGGACATGAATCCATCTAGTCATTACAATAGTTGCACCTGTCAAGTGTAAATTATCGATCTAACTGGTTGTTAATTATGCTTTTTTAACTGGGTCACCCGATTATTCGAAACGACCCGGCTTGTGAGCCGGTAATTATTTTTAGACGGGTGGGGCTTCTTATACCCATCATGATTTCATGATTAACTTTATCACAAAGCACATGATACGATTTTAATGAAGACGAAGTTACATACTCATATAGTACTATTATACGAGTTGTGACCTCACCAACCATACACACGTGTTTGCTAATTAACATATTATACACCACTACTCGTATTACTCTAAAAAGTACGTAAGGAAATCAATTGATTTTTTTTTAATAGTCTACAAAATTCACAAAATTTGGCAAATCGCAAATAAATTGATTTATGCTAGTATAGGTTCTAAGTAGCATTAGTTGTCAACAGCAAAAATGATACAATAACTAATATTTAATATGTTAAATATATTAGTGATACAATTCAATTGATGTTAGAACCATTGCAGACAAATTCCTTATGTAAATCAGTAATTTGATTAATCCGGCCGGTTATTAATCCATATTAACATCAAGCAAATGCTTCACAAATCTTTGAAAAGTAAAGCTTTACGAATCAAAAATATAAATAATAAACGATAATAAACGATAACGTAAACTATCAAAAGTTCTGAAGTTAACATATGATGAACATCAAAATGTGATAAGGTGGATACATCGACAAGTATTTTTATAGATCCAAGCTTGTCTCTATTGAGGAACGAAAAACTTGGATATTCTCTGCCAGTTTTTGAACCAATTCCTATTTCTTATTATTATCCCTGTTATACCGTATCTCACTTTCCCGATATTCATTATTTCCTGTTCTTTTTTGGTAATTTTCACTCCCGTTATTGCGCGTCACAGATTCGTAATTTTTAGTATCTCCAATCATAACCGTTTGATGTCCCCGTCCCTGTTGTTTGAAATCTCTTGTCCTAGCTATTTGATTCTCCCCATTCCTATTATTCCTATTGCTTGACATATATCCTTGTTGATTAGTATCACCCACTTCCATTGTTTGGTATCTTCCGTTCTTGTTGTTTTGTGCCTCACTTTCTTGATAGTTGTTATTTTCCATATATCTCTTGTCTCCATTATTTTGTATTCTACTATCTTGATATTTATTATTTTCTATTGTTTGTTGTTTATATTCTGACTGTTTAGTATCACCCATACCCGTTGATGTATATCTCACATCCCTATCGTTTAGTACTTTATGTCTAGTGTTTTCGGTTACTATAGTTAGATATCCCCCTTCCTGTTGTTTAGTGTCTCCCATTCTTATTGTTTGATATGTAATATCCGCACTGCTTAGTTTCTCGTATCCTTTGTACTTGTTATCACCAATTTCTGTTCTGTATCTATCATCCCTATTTTTTACCTCTCTTTCCTGATATTTGTTATCCTCCGTTCTTGATGTTTTGTATTGTTCATCTCTGCTATTTTGTATCCTACCTCCCTGATATTCGGTATCTCTTCCTGTTGTCTGACGTTTTAATTCCTGTCGTTTATTATCTTCCATCCTAGTTGTTGAGTATCTCTCATTACTGTCGGTTGGTACTCCATATCCATAGGATTCAGTTATTGGTTTTTGATACCTTCCATCTTTACCGTCTGCCACCACATGTGCGTATGTGTCATTTCTTACCACTGTCGCATAATTTCTTCGCCCGTCTTGTTCCATTCTCGTCATTTGATGCCCTCCACCATTGTCATTTTGTCTCGCATATTCATTGTTTTCAACTCCTATAGTTCTATATTCGATCCCTGTTTGGTGCTTCTCATCCTTAGAATTTAGTATGTCCCAATCTTTGGTATTTGTCATATTATCTAGATTGTTTGATATCCTAGCATTTCTAGTGAATGGTGTAGCTTTGGTAGGAATAACTCGCGCAGGAAATATTACTTTCATATTTT